ACAACCAATTTGCCCATTGGATCATTTATCAATAAGAACTATCTATTGATTTCAGTTTATGATTTTGTATATCAAGGAAAAGGAACTACTGAGTGTAATTGGAGTATAATGCTCTGCAGTGTTGGGGATTAATGATGATCAGATAATATGGATGCCACGTCTGCGATAGGTATATAATTGCTATTATGATACTTTGACTCGATAATAAAAATCGAAACCCTAACACTTAAGTAATTTATGATGAGAGCTGGTAAGAATTTATTTCGATATTCATTCAAACAGTTAGCTACCAAGATACTTCTATTTTTTTGGTGGTATTTGATAGTTGTAACCGACAAAAACCTCCAATAGGAACAACTGTATGTGGTGACGTATGTCCAAAATCGCAACCATAGATAATTGGGATGTTGGACGCAATTTCTGATTTAATACTGATAATTTTAGAAATTTTTTCGGCATTCATATTGCTTCCCATTTGAAAACGTCCAATGACGATCCCCTTTAATCCTTCTTTAAATCCAGGAATAAGCAATAAATGTTGCAGTTGTTGATCAAAATTGACCATTGTCTCTTCAAAAGTATCTTCTGCAAAGAGAATGAATGACTCTGGGATAAGCAAATAAGGTGTTCCAGCCAAATGACAAGTTGTGATCAAGTTTCCTCCGATAATCAATCCCTCTCCAGTCCCTTGGCGAATAATCTGGTAGCCTTCATTATCAAAAACATTCACCATCTTTTGGTCCATATACCAAGGATCATCCCTCCAACGAAGGGATGGTTGAATTGTTTCCCATTCATCTGGTTTTGATTTCATCAATTGTCCAGTAAATTCTTGGATGGTGTATTCTAAACCCAACTCCATGCCAAAAGAACTCCAATGGGGACCTGAGAATGTGACCAAACCAGCTTTTGCCAAGAATGCATTTGACAGTGTTGTAATGTCGGAATATCCACAAAATACTTTTGGATTTGATCGTATGAGGTCATAGTCTATCTTGGATATGATCTGATCGCTATTAAATCCACCAATAACTGTCAAGATACCCTGGACGGTTTGATCTTTAAATGCATCATGTAAGTCTACCAAATAGTTTAAATACAGAATCTCTACCCTCTATGCGGTCTTCAATGGGCGATGATTGTACTTGATTAGGACAACTGTTTGAAACATTTTTGCCAAATGTTACTGAAATTAAGATATGAGTTGAAATTTACCTTTGAATCCCATTTCCTCTAGTCGTTCGGTTGCAATCTTTGCAACACTATCACTAATCATGCACATATGTCTGCTGGGTGCAATAACCCGAATAGTATCTCCAGACTTTAATCGAGCTGGTTTTATTACAGGAAGACTCATAAAATTTTATAACTTTTTTTGTGATTTTAAGTGGTTTTGTGACTCACCTTGTGCATTTGACTCTGATGATCACCGTACCGTAACTTAGTAATGCACTTGTAACTAATTTGTTGGCCATAAAATTCTTATGGGTAGTTCAACATATCCTAAATGGCAATTTTCTATTCAGATCAAAGGTTTCCCAAATTACTGCGCGTTAGTTTAGTCTTTTTTATTGCAGTTTTCGGCAAAATTGTTATTTTAAAAAGAATGTATCGATAGGCAATCATGAACTACATTACTCATTGATGTTTGTTACAAAAACACAATGTCCGCCAAAGATTTTAACCTGCAATAATTTCATATGTGTCTGTTACAAATAATATTTGTGAAAGTTCTGTTTCTTTTAACGGTCATATCATTAGTGCCTCGTACAAATATCCTGATTGCCTCGTACAAATATCCTGATCCTCAATCAGAATCCCTTTGAATGCTACATGGTATGAATTACAACTTGACTCCAATCTCTCCAAACTTGATCATAGGTAGTTTGAGCCATATTTAAGAAACTTATTCCAGAAGGCATTTTGGCGACCTTAACAAGTAGTTCCGCCACTGCAGCAGGTCGAAATGCCCACCATAAAATATCATTGTCAAATGTACCTAATAATCATCTATCATTCATGATTCCTTTCAGTAGCAATATGTCCAAACGTTTTGGAACATTGTTCATAATATCACAATTTCTTATATAACAATTATAATACAGTGGCATTCTCAGAGCGTCCAACAAAATAATCAGTGGGGGGAGTTAGAAGCACATCATTTCAATGCTATTCAACATGATAAACACAATCATAAACTCAAATCAATAGACAGCTCTTGTTGATAAATGATCCCATGGGCAAATTGGTTGTGCTAGCTCAGATATGAAATCAAAATAGGAATGACAAGACACTTGTATCACGTGGCCAGGTCAATGCACTGGTCTGTGAGTCAGGGTGGTCGGAGTTAGTGAATGGTATTTCAAGCCCGGCTAGCTCAATCGGTAGAGCGTGCGACTTTTAATCGCAAGGTTGGGGGTTCAAGTCCCCCGTCGGGCTGGATGGGGGTCTAGCTCAAATGGTAGAGCGCTCGCTTAGCATGCGAGAGGTACTGGGATCAATGCCCAGGTCCTCCAAGCTTCCTTAGCTCAGTTGGGAGAGCGTAGCACTGAAGATGCTAAGGTCGTGTGTTCAATCCACACAGGGAGCATATTTTTGTCCCTTTTTACCACATCATCCTAACTGGCAATCTTCAGTGACTCCCGTTGGTCCATATTTTTGTTTTGAGGAAACAACTAAATAAAAATGTTTGAAAATCTAAAAATGACTTGCATATTTGGCATCATGTTTGATAAAATAAATCCAATTCCATCGCAAAAGGAATGATTTTTGAAAATCTTGAAAATAAGGTGGACTGGTGAACGGAATCAGTAACATCCAATTTTTCGGAAGTTAGGATGAAAAACATCCAAAAGACAACGCGACTATGGTATGAAGACACGAACAAATTTAATTATATTGATATTTGAAGGATGTTATTAATATTATTGCGGTTATTTAGTCTACCACTTCTTACTTTGATGGTTCGAAGTCAAAAAAATCAATATCTTGTAACTCTGGAGGTAAATAGTCCTGTTCGATTGGTTGCACATAGTCGGGATTATATTTATACCCATGCCCATAATTCATATTGTCCATCAAGGTTGTTGGGGCATTGCGAAGGTGTAATGGGACAGGATAGTTACGTTCGGATTGAATGCAAGACTTAACCTTCTTTATGGCTGTAACGACACATAAAAATATATAATAAAATTACCTTGATATGATTCCACTGACTTGGGTGCTCTAGCCAGATAAGTAACACAATGAGATAAAATAGCGTCACACTCAGGCATCCCAATCACTTGGCATGCTTGATATGTCGACAAAGCTAAAGGTAACGCATTGTTATCTGCTAAACCAATATCTTCCGATGCAAATCGAACCAATCGCCGAGCAACATACAAAGGATCTTCACCAGCATAAATCATTCTGCCAAGCCAGTAAATGGCCTATCGATCAATTGCTAAATATTCACCTTACTGCATTTGCATTTGATCCCCTTAAACTTTTATGAAGTGCGGATATTATGTTGTAGTGCTCTTCTCCATTCCGATCATAAATCAAATGCGATTTAGATAAACAGTCTTTAGCAAGTTCAATTGTTGCAGTTTGACCTTCAGGACACGTATTAATCAGCATTTCCAAGGTATTTAGAGCATACCTCGCATCTCCATCCGACAATCTTGCTATATAATCAACGCATTCGTTTGGAATATTTTTTTTAGTATATGAATCAATCGATCGTCTCATAATATGTACCAAAGATTCAAATTTTAGTTTTTCAAACAGAAACACTCGACACCTAGATAACAATGCGTTATTGATTCTGAAACTTGGATTTTCTGTTGTCGCCCCAATTAAAATGTAATCACCCCTTTCAACTGGACTTAAAAAAATATCCTGTTGTGCTTTGTTAAACCGATGGATTTCATCCAAAAATATTACACCTTTCTAATTCATAAATAATTTCCGTCATACCTTTCCTGATTGTTTCAAATGTTTTACTGCATCTATTCCGGCAGCCTTTATATCCTGAATGGAGTGTATAGTGGCAGAAAATTCCCTGTACCAACTAACTTGACGACCAATAATCCTTGCCAAGGTTGTCTTACCACATCCTGGTGGACCAAACAAGATTAAACTCTGTATTTTTTGATTTTCAATCATAATTCGTAGTAGTTCCAAATCTTTAGTATTTTCAAAAAGTATATCTTTCCACTCAGTTGGTCTACTGAGCTCTGCCAACGGTTTAGCTTTAATATCCACAGAAGCGGATCTCTTTCTTTTAATACCCAATGTATGAATTTGGTTAGATTTTGCTGGAATACAGTCTATCGTAGACTGAGATTTTGAGACTGAATCTCCCTTGGTGGTGGTGATCTTACAACCTGAATCTAAATGCGCATTTATATGATTCTCATTAATCTTCGCAGCACAAATTGGACATTCTACAATCGTTTCAATCTCTTTGGTCATTAGGTCAAAAACTCAAAAAATATTTGGACAAACCTCATGAGTATCTTTCTGTACAATGCGTTGGTAGAGCTACCTGTGGGAATCGTTTTGTTGCTTGGAGCACTTATCCCTGTCTTTCCCTCTTTCCTTTTACCTTTAACTAAAGTTAACTTAAGAGCAAACATCTTGCTTGAGTTGGCATCCTATGGTAACATAATTACTCCCTCACCATGCAGAAATGATCTTCCCTCTAGGTATTAGTTCTTTGGTTGTCCATCTTAATGGCCCTACTTTGGAAAATGGCTCAGCAGTTGCAATTGGGTGTTTGGGTTATCATATTGCTGTTGGCACTTCGTCACTATATAAGGCTGCATTCAGCTCAACAAACTTTGGTCCAGATCCTGAATATGTTCGTAAACTGATGTCGCCAGGAGCTGCAAATGTAATTTGCGGGATTAATGCAGCCATCATTCACTATGGACTGGCATATGGCTTTGCAAATTGGCTTAATTGGATTTAAAGTAGTGTTACCATACAATTTGTATTCAATAAACTGAAAACATCAAACTGATATTTGGTTTTGGTTATATTATCAACATTCATGTCTTGTTCATGGTAATTTGGAGTGATCATGAAAACAATTTCCACATGTTTCTTGATGATTCTTCGTTGCTAACAGCTCAGAACAACCACATTGACGACAATGTTTTGTTCCACTAATATCTATCAAAGGCTTTTTACTTTTCTTCCTTTTGGTTGAATCTTTTGATGATTTATCTTTGGAACTGGATTTTTTACCAGAATGTGTTGAACGTTTCAATGCTTCAGCTTCTCTTTCTGGTTTTACTTTCTTCTTCTTTTTCTCTTTCTCTCGGCTTGATGAGCTCTAAATATTAATATTACTCGGTATAGCTTACTGTAGCTAGTAATGAACCAGGAGTAACTGGTAGCAAATTCGCAGCGGACACAAGTGGTTGGGGTGATAGAGGTGCATTTTCAACGTTTGGGGTTTGATTGGCATTTGCGACAGACCACATTCTTTCGCTCTAATGATCAAATGAGTATTTTATACATACCTTAGCCATTCTTAGCGTCAACACCCAATCAAGCATGCTATCCATCTGCTCTGCGCATATGTACTTTATATAATCGGATTGATTATCAAAACTATTAACAGGCAAATCCGATCTTAATGCAAAGCAAAAGTTTGTTATTGATTTTTTATGCCTTCGCGTTGTTGTATATACATCTGATCGACTTAAACTACAAAAAAGCGTTTCCGATTCACGATTCTAATTGTTAGAAACCAGAAATACATTTCCATCGGCGTAATAGACTAATTTGTAATCCCTTAATACACAGAAACGTTTGCTCCATGTTCCAGGTGTTAGTTCGAGATACAAATATCCTTGAGTACGCGGGTATTTTCCTGTAATTGCCTATAACATTATGCAAAACATATTACTGATTTTGTAAGTGTGGATAGATATCCATATTTCTTGATTATAATGGCATTGACTGATTGCGGATCCCAAGACGACATTATATCTGTAACTATTTCCCAATCTCTTAATGGTCGCTCTAACATTATTAAAAATTAATTGTTACCAATGCCAAAATCATTACACAATTCGAATAAAGCAAAAGAATCTCCCTTTAAATTTGACGACATGTCAGTGACCAATCTTCTTGAAGTCATTAATGAATTAATGACCTTTGTTTTAAAAACTGTCGCATCTTCTATATACACACGAGTTGTTATCTGCAAAAATAGTCGTTAGAATGTAACTATTACTTTAGTGATATTAGCTTCTTTAAGTTTCTCCATAATTAATTTGCGCTTCTCTTGCTTGGCTAAATCTGAGCTGGAAGCGGTTAATTTATTTTCAATTGCTGCAGAATTCATCGCCTTCACTTTGATTTCTAATGGAACATCATCATCATCTGACCCATCTGGTAGTGTGGTTCGAACCGCTGAATTAGTTGCGGAATTGGAAGCAGACGAACTCACACCAAGTGGTGTATTATCATCATCATCATCATCTGATCCGTCTGGTAGAGTAATACTAGGTTTCCTATGTGATGGATTGTTCGGGGTGGGTATAGTCAAAGAAGACCTGTTACTCCTGCTTTTCTTTCTTTCTGGACGCGGTTGATGAGACGGTAACCGATTTATTCCTGGGTTGGAGAGCATAGTTTGGATGGGATATACTGGGGGTCCACGTTCGTTCGAAATGCTCAACTTTAACATGTGATTTTGCACATTTGGGGGCAGAGGACTAAAAGCTTCCCCCGACGGTATGGCTGACTGCGGGTGTAACTTTATGTAATCGTCAAGTACATCTAAAAGTCCATCAAAATCAGCATAGTCGTCTACAGTCACAGCTTCGAAAACTGATTCGGTATCATCTACTTCAACATTATCAAAGAAAGAATTTTGTTGGGAAGGCTCTGGTTCTTCGTCAACTGTAACTTCAATATCTTCATCCTCGTTTTGCAGTTCATATGGACTACGAACATCACTCGTGGATGAAGATGTGTCAGATTCGGAACCATCTGAAGACATCGAGTCTGATTCACCACTATCTGAATTATAATCGTCTGGTTTGAGGGGTAGAACTAGTAATTAGAACGAGAAACAAAATACCATCGGGTATAATAGTCTGAGAATTTGACTTCAAAATCGAGCTACCCGGAGTAGTTTTTGATAACGATACAGTTGAGATGCTGTTTTCCAGTAGTTGTTGAGGAGGATCCTGCTCATCAAACGAAACGATATCCACCAATGGAGAATTCATATCATCAACAAAGGAAACGGATTTTTCTGTTGCAAATGTATTTGAGTTAATATTTGATAAACTACGTTTAACTAAGTCATCCAGTTTGTTATTCTGGTCCACATAAGGTTCTGATAGTCTCCGGTGTAAAGTAGGATTCGATAAGTTTCTTACTAGTTCTGTGCTTTTTGGAAGTGCTTCAGAGGGAGCCATTCCAGTTTTTGGATTTGACCTGTTTGATGATAAACTAGACAAATCATGCGCATGATGCAACACCGAGTCACCTTGAAGCATCGTTTCTGTTTCCAGTAAATCCTTTAGCATATTTGTGATATCATCGCTCATGTTGTGGTTGAAAGTAATTGTACCTCCTTTA